TTTTTTACTTGAGCTGATTAAACTGTTATAAAAGCAAAAATCTTTGAATATTAGCGGAAAGTAAAAAAACGAAAACGTGAAGCCCATATTTCTTTTCATGAGCAATTAGACGACAGACTAGATGGTAAATCGGTAAGTTAATTGTTATTTATTTCTATGAAATAATGCTAATAATATTTTCATTGGTTCAGAGACAGACTGGGAACGCAACCAGCGACAATGATCGTGAACTCGTTAATAATGATGATACTTCTTTTGTGACTCAAACTGAAAGCACCTCTAGTGATAATGATTGCGATGACGATAACGAAGGGAATAATCGTGACGATAATTCCAATATTTCTTTGGTAGCTCAGACACAAACTGAAACTACAACCACTAATAACTATGATAATAGCAAAAAGTTCGTGTCTTCGGTAGCACCGCGGATTGAAATCGTATTGGGAAAAGACATCATAAGTAATGAAGAGAGGTACTGTAATTATTTATGCTAACAACTACGAAGCAAGAATCCTCACTGTTGTTTGAATAGGATAAACGATGCACTGGAAATGAGTGCCAAAGAGACCATTCGAAATGATGGGAATAAATAGATTTTATGTGGCATCGATTTACAGGAAGCACTAACAAAATGGAAACAAGTAAAGGTTCGACCGCGCACTGAGTAAGCATTTTTTTTAATTACGTGTGTTCAGTATGTGATAAATTTGAACAGATCTAATGTAATGTACTGATGTTGTAAATTTTTAGTCTGGCATTCTATGACATCATAGATATCACACCAGGTTCTAATAGTGATTTTCTACGATCACTACCTGACAATGCAGTGCATGAAATAAAACAGTTAATACCGTCACCAACACCTAATACGAACAACGAAATGAAAGATTATATTATTGAATTTATTAAGGTATCATTAGTTTTGTGATTTTTAATGTAAATATTTTGTTGCTTCTAAATTTTTCTTAACGTCTCACAATGTAGACAAAAGAATTCCGTAAATTTGTAGATGAGAGCTACTTGAAAACGAGAGTCAATAATACTACAAAATTTATATGGGATTACTTGAATATTCTGTAATAATTAAAAGCCATTTTATTAAATATGTTTCCTCTACCTTCTTTGGTCTTATATTCAAGTTTTCTTTTTTTTCTTAGTGTTGAATCATTTGAAAGGGATAACGATTTAGCGAATTATAATCTGTCCGAATTCGGGTATCGGGAAATATTCTTTACCCCTCTAATTCGAAGTCTTTTCCGAGGCACACACCGGGAAATGAATATTTATTTGTAGGTATATGAATAACTTTTTATAAAATTTTTGATATTATTTTTTTAAACAAAATTGTATTGTACCTTTACATAG